TGTTGCCGTAGTGTTGTTTGTTGTTGACGTCGGGGAAGCTGATGCGACGGCCCGACAAAAGATCCGTCCAGATAACAGGAGACGAGGGGAATTCTTTTGTCGGTCTCTCGCAATGACTAGGCAGCTTGCACTTTGGGAGAGCTGAGGATTACAGATCAATGAGTGTCCAATATATTCCAGCGCTTTATGGTTAATTGGACCCCTGACTGGTGAGTTGCGCAGGGAAAGAATGACTCGGGGTTGGTCAACACTCAATCGGTCCGTTCTCCGCGCTTTAATTTAGGAGTCAACACGCCTCGACGGAAGTTACCATCGATCGATATAGTTGCTACGAAGCAATGGCGACCCCGTCTACAGCCTCTCTTGATGACGAGAAGCGCTCAGTTCCCCTCAATACCAATTTCCCCCTGAACTTACGCCACAATCAAACCGGCAGACCGTCGTCACCTCATACACCTCAACAGCAATTGCGGTCCAATAACTCTTCCTTTGCGAGCACCGGCTCGGGGGGCACTTCCTTCCGCGGAGAAGAGGATGCGATTATATTTGAACTCGGATCCCGGTGGTTTCGAGCTGGATTTGAGGGCGAAAGCACGCCCATATGTGTAGTGGGATATGGGCCTGAAGACTGGAGGAGAGCGGGCGACTATAGAGGGTGGTTGAAGGTGACAAACAATACGAGCAGCTCGCGAGCAGTCAATGCAGATCAATGGACTGGCGCTTACGAACTGTGGAGGATGGATTTACGTGATGTCGACCTGGGGCTCATCGAGGACAAAATCGAACGGGTATTTCGGGAAACATACAACAAATATCTGCTGACAGATGCGGGTACATCACGATTGGTGCTGGTCATCCCGTCTATCATACCACATCCGTTATTATCTTCGATTTTGTCGACTCTTTTCAGTCGCTGGCGATTCCCGAGTATTACCCTTCTTCCAAGCCCTGCAATGGCCGCGGTAGCAGCAGGGCTCCGCTCAGCATTGGTGGTAGATCTGGGATGGGCAGAAACTACTGTAACCGGGCTGTATGAATACCGAGAGATTGCGGCCAAGCGAAGTACAAGGGCCATGAAGTCCTTGCTTCAGGAGATGGGGAGGATGCTCACTCGCCTTGCCTCGGACGCCAGCCGGGAATCTGAAGTTGCGGACGACATAACGGTCAGCTTCGAGTACTGCGAAGAAGTCGTCAGTCGTTTTGCCTGGTGCAAGCCCCGGGTAGGTGACAAAGCACCTTCACCATCAGAACCGCGCAACATGCAATCACCGACTGAAAACGGCCCCGAGTCCATAGGCAACAGGATGGTGTCGATTCCATCTCCATCGAATCCTCATTCGACCTATATTGATATTCCATTTTCGGCACTTGCGGAGCCTGTTGAAAAGATCCTTTTCGCCAAGGAATCAGCGGAGCGCGATTTGGACGACGAGGAAAAGTCAATACCTTTGTTGGTTTACAACACGCTACTCGGCCTGCCACCCGATGTTAGGGGCACATGTATGTCGCGGATAATATTCGTTGGAGGTGGTGCTAATATTCCCGGCATCCGACGGCGAGTTATCGACGAGGTGGCGGCTATGGTCAATACGTATGGCTGGAGCCCAGTCCGCGGCGAAGCAACTCAGAAAGTAGAGGAGAAGCTCCTAGCTTTGAGGCTGAAAGCGCCGGCACCCGCGAAGGGCAGTCAAGACAATACCATAGAGCCCTCTGAAAGTTCAGCGGTACCGGACAGTCAAGAGAATGAGGCGCCCGAAGAAGAGGTAGATTTCGTTGAGCAGAAGCTGCGCCGTAGCAAGGACAAGGACACGAAACACCAGGTACATGGTATACTGCGCGAGGTGGAATCTCTGGGTGCCTGGGCCGGAGCTAGTCTTGTGGCAAGCCTCAAGATCAGGGGACAGGTGGAGATTGAGCGGGAGAAATACCTTCAGCATGGTCTTGCTGGTGCCAGCCGGGACTTGGATCATGGCCATGTTCCTGATCGACGTTCTGGTCTTCGAGCAGGCGGGGACCGGTCGAGCTGGACACTAGCAGCCTGGGGTTGAACTTGGGCAAGGACGTGTGTGACTATACGTTGATTCGCATGTCATGCACCTAAGATGAAATTTGACCTGTATATATGATACCCAGTTAGAATCGGAATAGTTTATTGATTTGGGAGATTATTATGACAGACTCCTTGATCCTTCCAGATCGCGCTCCGATCGAGAAACGATAGATGTGCAGCTACGAAGGAATGGCAGACAGCCAGCAGGATTATGACTGGAATAGCATTAGATTATTATGTACACGTTGTTCTCAAAGCTGCTGGTATGTCAAAACAGAGCAGCGATACCACTTCGAACCCAACGTCAGCTAAGACAGTTCAACCACCAATTTTCACAGCGGACGACTCAAAAGTCTAGACAGTGCCGAATTGATAAGTAGCCCAGTTGACGGCTGGACCATCGTTGGGAGAGAAGATCTGCAGCGGCAATTGTCCCCATTCAGGGTGGTTGATGCCATCAATCCAGCCCTCGGGCTCGATAACCACGCAGCCATACTGCATGACGTTCTTTGCGCCTTCCTTGCCCTCTTCCTTGTTACGCTTCTCCTGGGACGGCTTGATGGGGAGGTAGTCCATCTTGGCGTTGTCGCAGGTGTAGATTTGAAGAGCGGGCATGTTGGACGACACTTCGAGGCTGATTCCGGTTGCGCTGGAGTTCATGCGGACGATGGGGACGAGTGAGTCCGGAGCTGCGTATTGAGGGGGTCGGTCGACGAGCCAGCAGGTATCGTAGCCGGTGCAGTCTGTGCCGCACATGCCGTAGGTATCCTTGAGATCGGCGCCGATGAGCTTGCCCTCGGTGAAATCGGGGGCGCCATTGAACGCATCGACGGTGAGGATGGTGCCATTGGGGATGAGGATGCCATCTGTGGCGATGAGGCGGTTGGAGTAAGGGAGTTGCAGGAAGGTGTCATCCAGGACATTAGGGGCCTTGAACGCATTGAGGTTCCAGTAGATGTGGTTGGAGAGCATGATTGGGGTCGCCTCCGTCAGGGCAAGGGAGATCAGTTTGGTGGTCAGTTGGGGGAGACCCTTTGGGTTTTGCGGAGTGACAGTCGTGTCGACACTGTAGACGGCGTGGGTGATGACGTCTCCGGGGAAGTCCTCCCAACCTTGATCGAAGAGAGTGAAGGTGACGGAAGACTTGGAGTGTGCTGTGACAGTCCAGTTCCGTTGGTCGTAGCCTACCTTGCCTCCGTGGAGGGTGTCGGTGCCGTTGTTCTCATTCTCCGGCACATGGTACTCATTACTGCCGATGGTGAACGTGCCGTTCTTGATGCGATTGGCGTACCGACCAACAACAGCACCGAAGAAGGTGTGGACTGTCTCTGTATCATTCAGGTAGGCCTCAGGGTCATCGTAGCCAATGACGACATCCTGCTCCTTGCCATCGCGATCCGGGACCATCAGCGATATCAGTCGTGCTCCATACGGAATCAGCTTGGCAGTGATGTTTTCCGCGCTGATGGTGTAGACCTTGAAGGGATCTGTAGCTGAAGTGCTGGACGAAGAAGAGGAGCTCGACTCTGTACTCTGAGCCAAAACTGGCAGTCCATAAAGGACGGCCGAGAGATAGTGCTTGACGTGCATCCTGAGCCCCAGTAGAATAGTGATAGTGATGAAGAAGGAGCAGTAAATGATCAAGACACGAGGCGTTATCCGAGCAGGACACAGCAAAGAACGAAAGCAGCCACGAAGAGGGGTTGTGCGTCGGTTAAATACTGGGGAGGTATTCATAATCCCCTAGCCAAAAACGATAAAACGTCACTGCTGGTAGAACGCCCCCATTCACCTCATGATGCTACTCCGTGCGGGGAAAACAAAGCGCAGGAACCGGCAGGAAGCTGGGGCAGGCCTGAACCCTTTTGTGCTTCACTGATTTGCTGAGATGACTCGTAAATTTACCGAGAATGGACGTAGTAGATGGCAAGCTTCCAGTTGTCTCGGGGGCTTTGGTTGACTAGTCCAGAATGTGCAGGGATCCGTGCCGCGTGCAGTCACACGTTATCTTGCTTCCTGCCAACAAGCTTGACGGAACCAGTTGGGGCGAAGTTGTCAGTGAATGGAAGATTCTACTGGAGGATCCAGCCGATAGCAGTTGTGGGATAAGCGAAATGAATTTCTCCGTGTATATTGCTCTCAATGCTCCAGCAACAGTTAAGCAATACGCCCCCTAAACACCGTTAATCTAGCTTTGGCTAGTTAGTGAGTGCCTCAGGTCAACAAGGCCGCAAGGCGTCAAGCGTGGTTGAATCTCAGACAATACGCTAGACCTTTACAGGTAACTCCGGTGGGGGATTCCAACCTCCATTTGCGGGGAAGGGAAAAAGGCTTGTCGATCATTTTCTTAATTTCTCCTCTTGGCCGAGAATAAGATGCTCGCAGGAGGTTACTGAGAGGAACTGGTTTGACTAGCAACAACTTTTGTTGACTTATACATGGAGTAAATGAGTGATGATGAAAAAAGTCACTCTTCAATCTTGACGAATGTTTCCATTGAAGCATTTTGGTAAATCGACCGACCACTGCAGCCACGGCCTCTATGGCTCACCGTACTCGGAACGGAACAATATATTTCTTGATTATGTAATACCGACGCGTCTGCTCGCATCCAGATCGGCCCGGACCCTCGGTCTGCCTGATCGGGAGACTTGTTTATGTGGGATATGCGGACTCTTAGGGTCGAGTCCAGACTGATGACAGCTAATCTGGTTTGTTGATGAAGATGAATTCTGAATAGTCGCGTTGGCAATACAACCTCTGTAGATTGCTATTCTTGCGCGACGCGATTTGCGGCCCGATCGCCCCTCTTCATGAACCGCATTGTTTGTTGCATGGCGCAATGTTCTCTCAAAGTTCCAGCTCTTCTCCAGACATTCTTGGGCCCCCTGGCGACGCCGATTATTTGATATCATCTCCGATCAGACCTTTCGCCGGTCGCCAGAGCTTCATGTCGCCAGCCAATTTTAAGCTCCTTCAGACCCCGCGGACGGGCAAGGGAAAGCGGTCGCGCATCAATCTTAGTCCGGCCAAGGGCGCACACTCGATTCGTTTCGACGATGTTCTGCTTCCTGTGTCTCCGACTAGGAAGTTGAATGGTCGACAGCGCTCATTATCTCCAGAAAAGGCACAGGCGGATGGAAACTTGAGCCCGTGGAGGATTCGAGTAACGCTCGAGGCAACACAAGACGAGGAAATGAATCAAGGGAGCCCGGCGCGCAAGCGGCCGAGGCCGTCGACGGCTACGACAGTCAAAATACCGCTCAAGGACGCCGAAGATCATGCGGAACAGTCACCAAAAAGGCGCAGAGGGAGACCAAGGAAGTCGGACATACGGGAACAGGATGCTACACCTACAGCAGGCAGTCCAGGACACACACCGGGCCCAGCAGGCGCAAGTGGGCAGAAGAGAAAGCGAGGTCGACCAAGGAAACAGTCTCTCAATCCGGATACGGTAGACGGCGATACGCAAGTGGCTGATTCGGCGGATCATCAAGACACCCGGCCCGTTGAGCCTGAACTGGAGGCCGAACAACGATGGAGTCCGTTGAACCTTGCTGGGGACGCAGACTCGGACGACGACGCTTTGCCGGAGGGTTTCATGCTTGTCGATACTTTTCCAGAAGACAACAACATGGGGCAACCCGATGCGGCCGCTTGGGATCGGAGCTCCCCCCGAATACATAATGAGCGTACGTATGACACACCAGATGTGACTGCAGTGGATCAGATATACGGACAAAGACATGATGAAGAACCGCAGTCGACCCCCTCAAAAATGCCGTCGCCCTCTCGAGAAAGCCAAGGATTCTCCCCAGAAAATACACTACATGCTGGTCATACACCCAGACCGCCACGCTCATACCCAAGTCCAACGTCCTCCTCTCTGGGTGACGATGACAGAGCGGTCCAAGTTGCATCTAGGGCACATCCTGAAGAATCTGGCCAGGAACAGAAGACGACTCGTCCTACAAATGACCCAACAGAAGAACATAGGGAGTTTGATTCTATCATGGAAAGCGAAGGCTTTAGCATGGTTTCATTGGATACACTACCCTCGGTCAGACAACACGGGCTGAGCATCAACTCGCAGAGTGGCAATGGTGCTCTGAAGCCCTTCCTAGCCCGAGAGAAGATGACGAATACGGAGAAATCGAAGCGCAAGGTGTCAAGCCTGAACCTGAATCCTAGGAAGAATTCCCCAGATGTAGAGGTGGAAAAAGAATCGAGATTGCAGGCAACAGAGCCTCAAGCATTGCCCGTGTCCGCCGAGAAAAGACGGTCTGCACCTCTATTGCGTGAATCCCCTGTTCCAGCTTTTGTTCCCAAGCAAAGAAACCCACTTGCGAGGCTGGCTCGAATTATCCGCGCAGGCGTAGCCCTTGAAGGCACCCTTCGGCGTCCATACGAGGGGGCACCTGTGCCGACGCCTGGTACACCGGATCTGAGAGAACAAATTTCTAGTCTGGAAGCACCCAAAAGGCGGTTAGAGCTCTTGTTCAGCGACTTACACCCGAGAATGAGACGAGAACTGCGCGCAGGCTTGGGGTTTGCACAAGAGCTCGCAAAAAGGAGGAGAAAGACGGAGATTGAACGGGCAAGACAAACGGCATCAGTAGAAGCAAGATTGACGGGCAATGCCAGAGGCGCAACCACAACTCCTCAACAGGTACTCAGCGGAACTGCTGTGAAGGACACTCCGAGTACAGAAATGAAACGGCGACTGGAGGAATGGCAGCGGGAGAGGGAAGCCGTGAGCCGAGAGATCCAGATGGCGAACGCCAGTCAAGTCATTGTGGTTGACAGTGACACGACGGGGCCACCGAGTCCGGAGATTGATGCGAACGGCGATCAAATGGGGAGTCAGTCAGACGAGGAGGCTGATCCCGGGGGTTCCCGTGGGCAAGAGTTGGGAGATTATCAGGCCCGGGAAGTGTATGACGAAGACATACCCGACCAGGATGTTGATCTAGGTGAATCGCCGCAGCATGACTTTGAACCTGGTCTGGCTGAAGAGATTTACGAAGAGGAAGACGAAGAGGGCTATGAGGATATCTGGCAACAAGAAGCGAGAGACCATAGCAGCATCTCGCATCGCTCGTCAACGTTGCACAGAAGGGAAAATGATGACGTCGAAGCACGTCAAGAATCGAACCCATCGGAGAGCAGCCCTGCGCCAAGCGAGCCTAGGGAAAACTTCTCTCCAAAGTCCTGGACGAACGATAACGCTAAGGTGCCGTTTTTGGGCCATTCGCGCGTCAAGAGATTGCGCGAGGAGACAGTGGATCTCTCCGCTGTGCTTCGTGGGGAGGAAACCCCTCGGCACATTCGTCGCTATTACGGTCAAAGCAGCCCTGAAAAGAGTGCGAACGGAGATTCACCGGAGCAGCAACGATCAAATGCCGATTATCCGGAAGAGAATGCGGAAGATCATGGGCTCGAAGACGACCAAGGTTCACGCATCTATCTGGAATCAAGCCCTAACAGGGCTTCGGATGATGACACATTTCAGATCGACCCTACTACAAGGCACGAGAGCGAAATGCAACGTGCAGATCGGATGGCGGAGGAGATCGAGAACGAGCATATTCCAGCTACCGCGCTAGCCGACAAACGTTCCGCCTACGAAGAAAATAGTACTACTCCTGCACAGAATCGACAGTTCGGTGGAGATGGTCAGGCATCAACCTGGTTTCAGAAGATTACTAGTCTTACTCCCGGTTGGCTGAAAGCTCCAGTTCGAAAGTCATTCGGACCAGCCAGTCCTGGGTCTGGAGAAGTCTCAGAAGAGGAGCCTGACGTCAGATCAGCCAACGCACAGACGCTTCTTGACGATCAAATGTATCCCGAAGAGACGGATGAGACATCAAGGCAGGGTCTGCAGTCCCCGGAGCAGAATAACGCGCAGCCGGACTCGCCTACGTCAAGTGCCGCTCGACCCGTCGAAGATGTCAGAGTCGAGACCTACGAACCTCACTTTCCGCTCGCTGTCTCAGGATATTTCACAGACAATCACTACGTTCTCCTGCGACGGCTTTATCGATTGGCAAAACGTCATCCAGAACGGTTTCCTTATTATCCAGCACCTGGCCGCTCTGACATCATTGGTGATTGGATTTGGACATCGGACGGTGAGCATGGGGTGCGTGTTACCGAGACCCAGTTTGCCATCATTGACCGATTTGTGCAAGAGCTGGCTCGTGGCGACCTGCAGGCGGGTGGGACGGGCCAGATTGGCTGGACAGAAGCCGATATGCATAGAAGACTGATCAGTGTCATCATTGGCGAGCGCATTAGAGAGGAAATGAAGGCAGAGATGGGCGACAAGGCGTCAGCTCAGCAGATAGGAGGTAGAGGAGCCGCTCTCACGGCGTGGCGTCGATGACCGTTCATCCATCACCCTCGACTTTGATCGTCGTCTCTGATTTTGGCCCTCTCTTTTGGTTTCCTGTGCAATGAGGTTCTTGAGTTTTGATCTGTTTTGGTTTACATATTGTCGGGCTATTACGGATCCGGTGGACCAATGATTGAATACGCCGCCAGTTGGGTTTCCAAACATGGCTTTTCTTTTTGGTTTGTCATTGTGATATCTCATTTTTGATTGACGTACTATTCCCCTCTTGTTTGGTTTTCATGCAGATTGGACTTGATTGGGCATTGACAAAGTCAGCTGCTCGTGGAGTACAGTGGTGGGTCTTCTTTGCCAATGTGTTTGGTGTCTCATTTTATTGCACGATATCATTGGACACGATGTGTATATGACTCGACTTGACTTTTTTATTTTGCTTCTTTTCCATTGTCTTGTTGGGCCACTCAGAACCTACCTGTATCTGTTCTGGTTGGCAGGACGTCTCTCCTGGTGTTATGCGTGGTAGAATGGCTCAGGTGGGCCAAGGGTTATGGAGTTGGTCTCTTGGATCGTACCTGAAAAGAAATTCTGGCGACTTCGATGATGCTTCTGGTGTCGGTTTAAATGGGGACGGGGAGCATGTATGGTAACCTGTTCCTTGTTTGAGCGGCGAATCCGTTGCTGTGAGCGTGCCACGCTATGCAGCGCCTGGGCCTGAGCTGGCATGGTGACTGTAGAGATCTAGACTGACACGACGAGATTGTGCTATCCGTGATTGGTGAGCCGTCGCATTGGGGTTCCGACCAGGCTGCAGGTCTGGGGAGAGCAGCCAAACAGAGCGCGGAGAGAGCTGGCTAGCCTATTGTAGAAGGGTGATGCAGTGCGTCAGTGTGAGGCCTGACTTGTTTTGGATGTGACTTATTGTGCAGTATAGGATGAGTGATGGCCTTTCAATGGCTGAGGTATAGCGATTATGGTTATCGACGACGATTCGCAGCAGTATTTTATTTTGGTTTTCTGGATCATCCTGGAAGAGAAAGAGATTAGTATGGGTATAAATAGAGAGAGAGGTAAGCACATAGTTACTCCGGAGATTACCTAGTCAATCATTGACATCTCACCTCGTTCATTCCATTCCCATTGCACATTCAATCCACATGGCTACCAAGATGGGCATGGGCCACACTGTCAAATGCGTCTTCCGCCTGACGTTCCTGCTCAAGAAAGCAGAGCGCTCATTCCACCAAAAGGGCAAAGCAGCCGATCACAGCCATTCCGCTGTACCCTCCCTCACCTTGCCCAACATCGAATGCTCAGACAACGGGCTCGGGCCGCTCTTCAAAGAGACGAGGATGGGCGACTACAACGAAGATACTTTCTCCGACAGCGACACGAATACGAACACCGACACTGACACCGACACTTCAAGCGTCTTCACTCCTGATCTGGCGGTGAGGGCGCAACCCGCAGACGCAGAAGCAGACGCAGGTAGCAGCAGTAACCATCCCCATAACGGTAAGCGGAAACGCCTCGTCCGCATCGTTAGCTTCAAGAGCATCGCGCACGACCGCTCGCGGTGGTCCTCGTCGCAGGAGCGCGAACTCGCGATTGCGCAGCACGAGCTGGCGCGGTGTCAGAAGGCGTGGAGTTCGGAGCAGGAGCTGTGGTTGGAATATGTGGGTTACCAATTGACGTCTGATACTGTCGTAAACAGCCATCTCCCCTTTTCCTTTTCGTTTCCTTCTTGCCAACAAGCTCAAGGCATGGTGTAGATGACTAACGGGTTGGTGATGATTTCACCGGGTTTTCATGACCAGATTAAGATCCTCCTGGAAGAGAAAGAAGCGCACGAGGAGTTCCTCAGCCACCGGGCGAAGCAGTCTGGGGATGAGCAGGGGCATTTCCGGAAGGCCTGGAGGAGTCGGCGAGCTGGGGAGGAACAGCGAGGTCGGACACGGAGTCGCAGTGGGTTGCGGGCGTTGAGGGGGAGCAGGAGTGGTAAGGGGAGAGGGGAATGAATTGTAGGTTGAGTGATCTGCTTTAATTCATACCAATTTGTTCTTGTTCATGACGAGTTGCGATGGAAGTATGGTGAAACTGAACAAAGTATGCCAGACTAGGGAATGGATATGATGTGACAGGAGTCAGGAGAATCTCAAGCCTGTCTTTTTCCTGCTTGTCCCAGCTTATCCTGTTGCCTCTTTCTACGCCAGAAAAAGAAACACAATGGAGAAAATAATGCGATGGCTTGTTATCAAACTTCAACTAGTTTCTCACTAGACAATTGAACTAGAGAATAAAAGGACGATAAGCAGTGGGTTTCAACGGTCAATATCACTCACTCCACTTCAAGATCTCCTCGGGCGACGGGCGAACCGGAGTTCTGCGCTACATTAATGATGATACCTTAGCGATAATGATAATATCCACTGTCCATGCGGTTGGCGCCGGAGTTTCGACGCTGTAGGATCTCCAGTCAGTGCATGTAATAGTCAATACTCCGTACAGCGGAGATCATCAGGATCAATTCTTGAGTCTGGCGGATCGACAAAAGCAAACAATATCTAAGATTCATACGTAGACGGGCCAAATAATGCAGTTGTTGTTGATCAACTGTGAGAGTGTCAATATCTTCATCATCTGACATGGAATCAATATAAATGACTCGAACCCTGTTGACATGTCTTATCAGTTCCCTTGGATGGACGTCAGACAAATAATATCTCTTACCAACTGATAAGAACCAAGATAGCTATTGCTAGCCGCGTCTTCCTTTCTCTCAGTTCTTCTCTTCGCACGGAACTGATGTTTAGAGAGTCCAATTTGTCGCACAGTATCCTGTCCGAGCATGTATACTTCTAGTGTATTCCAAATTAGACCATTCAGCTTCATGATTGTGGACTGTGTTACCTAGTTGAAAGACACGGACATACTGCGTACTACTGAATCTGGATACTGACCATGGTTCATGTATCAGCCACCATAAACCGCCGAGGAGATGCAGGAATCTTGGTGTAGATAATGACAGCAGTCCTGGAATCCATCCTGAGGCGTACTTGACCATCACTTCTTATTCTCCATCATCCTTCATTATCCATCAACTTGACCTCTCTCCTCATCATCTTCTTCATCGAAGCCTTTTAATCTACATCCCTGTTATATTCATTCGGCTATAGCCCTAACTCATCCTCATCTGAATCATTCTCCGGAGTTCCCCACTGTACTACGACAAAGTACAAACTACCTCACCCACGGTATGCGGATTGTTATCTCTCCCCAGGCTCCACCATTGCCATTCGTTCGAAGTCTGGAAGACCACTATCTATAGCCTAGTCTACCTTTGCTTTTTCGGCTTTTGGCGATTATTCTCTTGTTCTTTTACTCGATGGATCACTTGGATCAATCATGGCGCTCCCTCTCAGTCACTGAGTCCCCCATCCCACAAACTCATCTACTTACCTCTCCTTCCTTATTTGTCTTGTTCATTTCCTCGCACCCATGGTCAGTCTTGAGCATGATTTGCCGCTATTGACGCCTCTCGATAATGCCCTGACGTACCCTTGCTGAGTGCAAGATAAGCCTCGTGTCAACCAGTAGGTTATTGTTCTGTTCATTCGGGGTCCTTTAACTACATTTCCCGATATCTCTTTCTCGAAAGCATTTTATTCCAGGATAAATCCACCCCCCCTCATCTGTTGGCCCCTGTAAATATACAGGATGCTGAAAATCCCGCTGACGCCTGCAAGGAGAATCATTATGCATGGCTGCGGGGTCGTGTTACATGTAATCATTCTAATAGTCTAGACTTCCTCTATTCCCGATCAATATCACCATACGTCTGATCGTATATCAATACCCACCCCATCATCGGGGATTCTTCCTCGCCGGCTCGGTTCGCCATGCGCCGACAATGTCGGTAACAACGTCCCTTTGGTGGCCCGAAGATCGAATCCAAGCCACTCTATGTCCGGAGTATGTCTTTGGTCATCTTCCGTCCGATCTTTTGCCTCGCCTTGTGGCCCCTTTACCTTGGGGAGAGGGCCTTACCAGTGAGACATATCTCGACTGGATCCTGCAGAAGGCTGGCAGACTCTTTTTGATCCTAGTCGACATCGGCATCCCTGAGCGCATCTTCTCCCTGGTCGACGAGTCATTCGATGACGCAGACTTGCCAATTGCAGCCCACAGTGTCGATCGTCTGAAGCTCTCCCTTGACGACGAGAATCCGACGCTAGACGCCAAGTTCTTCCATGCTCAGTGGCGTTTCCTCGTCCGAGGGATCAATCAAGGTGATCATATCAAGTATACCGAGAACGAAGGCGTTCCTGTCGAATTGATACGCAACGAGGCGGCGCTTGCGCGAGAAGGGATCGAGAAAGTCGTTCTGGCTGGCGCGGTCTGTCAGGTATATCTGCGAACCCAGGTTACCGTCGGAGGCGCGCCGCATTTCTTTGAAGAACAGGAGGTTCTGGACGAGATTCGCTCCTTGCGACGGTTATCTCATGATCACGTCTTTTCCATTTACGCTTCTTACTTTGTTGATGATACCATGTGCGTTCTGTTTTCCGGTATATACGATCGTACCCTGATGTCCTTTCTCACCGATGTTCCCCAACCTTTCAAACGCCTGCCCAAGAATCGACGTCGCGAGATCCTGATTAACTGGCCGCACTGTCTAGTTGATGGGCTGGCATGGTTGCATGCTCACAACCAAGTCCATGGCACCATCCGGCCGTCGAATATCCTGATTGACTCGGAATACCGTATCTTCCTCGGCCAGTTTGAGGCACTCGATACGTTACTGCCACCTGCCAAAATCGACGACGTCGAGTCGTATCAGTACGGAGCCCCGGAGCGCTGGGTACGTGCCGCTACCGTTCAGGATACCGGCCCCACTCGAACAGCTCTTCCATCTGGTGGTCGCACGGGTCGACGTCAGCCATCATCCTGCCCTGGAAGACTGAGCCTGTTCTCGAGAGGCTCGGGCTCTGATGACGCGGTGGACCGTTCGCTGAGTCCACGAGCTGAGTCTGTCACCTCCCACGGCACCGCCATTCGCATTGGAGGACTGCCCGATTCACCGACGCGGTTCTCCTTCGCGTTGTCTTCATCGTCCTCCGGGTCCAGTGGAAGTGCTCGCAAGCGGGTTGTCACCTCAGTCAAGCGGCCTATCTTATACACTCCATCAATCACCTCGTCCAACTCCTCCGGCTCTTCGGGTAGCTCCGCTTCTACGGTCCTCGACCCGGCCCGACTCCCAGGCACTCGATTGAAAACCGCCGTGGTGCAGACTTGGCAGTCCCGACAGACAGACCCCGAGGCATCGGACATATTCTCTCTCGGAGCCGTGATCCTTGACATCTTCACGCACCTCTGCAAGCGCAAGATTACCGCCTTTGCGCACCACCGGGGCGCAAAGAACAGGACCGCCGGCCGCGGAGGAGGCGTTGCGGACTGCTCGTTCCATCTGGACCGGAATATCGGCCAGGTAAGTTCGTGGATCGCCCTACTGGAACACGACGCGAGGAAACGGAAGGATCCCGTTTTCGGCGCCGTCGAGCCAATGCTCGCCGTAGTGCGCAGCATGCTGGACAAGGAACCGGGCAACCGGCCCTCGGCCACGCGCGTGGAAAGCCGCTTCGTCGCCGCCCTGCGCCAGATAGATGAGTCGGTTGCTCTGCACTGCACATCCAAGTTGCACATCCACGCCGCCGAAGCATCCAAGACGCAGACCGTCCCACAGCACGAACTCTCAGAGTCGGAGACTACGGCCCCTAGTTCAACCCACCCCAGACTCACAGTCACACCATGCCCTCCCCAACCAGCAGAGCAACGGACAGACTCCCCTCATCACTCGATACCACCACCCGCTGTCTCGCGACACCCTTCCCCATCTCCATCAGTAGCCAGCTATGCGGGCTACGCAGACTGGACAGACACCTACACGTACAGCGACGACGACTCCGACCAGGAAAGCAGCGAATACACACCTTCCTCTTCATCACTTAGGGTCCCCTGGCCAATGCCACCAGACGGACCCTTGAGACCGGCTCCCTCCCGGGATTCTGTTCTAGGCTACGGGGTTGCAATCACTGATTGATAGAGTTTCACTCACAGCTACCCTTCATCACATCTTTATGGCTGAGCGCAGCTCAAGGCATCTACTCCTAAGCGCGCCATTGTTTCCCTGACATACCTCCATCCGACTATGGTTTTCCCCTGTAGCTGAGCGGATTTGTTTTTATCCCTTTTTTCTTTTGCCTCTTCGTTGTCTTGAAGCAGTATGCTCTGGAGGCAATTTCTTGTATACCCATCCGATTATTACTATCTAGTTCTGGCTGCCAGAGTAGTGTTTTGATTGGGGCCTTTTGTGTCTGTCTCGCACGTGGGTTCTTAGTCGGTTCCGACCGTCTGGGATGAACGAGCGTCAATGTTCATGATTTGGAATATTATGGCTTTCTCTGTAACTATACTGAATTATAGCGTTTTTAGCCGTCTTTCCTTCGCCAGGTACTACGATGTTCTGATAGCGGGAGTGAAACGAGAGAGATTGACAAATCTATGGGTGACCATGAACGAACGGAAGCTGGAATTCATTTTATTGTCGACATGGCTGACCTGCGCTCATGTTGATACAAAGTAACGTATGATGGCCGTGATCAGACGGCTAGGCTAGACAGCAAATAACCACATGCGAAAAAAATTCGACATGACAATAAGGGAATAGACACCATCAAGGTCTCAAACACGCTTCGTAGTCATAATGTCATAGCAACACAGCAACCATACCAATCACAAATCCGATCAACACGGATGCGCTCGCGATATAATTTGAGCCAGCGATCCGTGGAAGAGAAAGGGGACTGGCAGCACCACTGTGGAGCAGCTGTGTCGGGGTCGAGGATGTCGGCCTGGTAGCTGTGGCGCTGAGGACTGGCAGGTTTCCAGAACCGCTTACATTAGTGACCTGGTATGTTGAGCCAGATTTCGTCTGCGTCTGGCCCAGAGTGGGCAGCGGAGAGCTGGGGTCGACCTCCCAAGCCCCAGATGTGTAGGCAGGGCACTCCGGGGGGCTGATAGTAGAGGTGGATTGAACATAGTCAGACAAGGCGACGCCAGTGGGTGACAGTGTAGCCCATTGGGTCTTGAGGTTGTGGAAGTCAGGAGACACGGGGGTCGGGACACCTTTGCGAGTGAAGCCATCATAAACAAGAGTGTCTGTCGGAGGAGCATTTGGCGCAGGGGGACCATAACTGACCAAACCGTAGTCGTTGACCTCCTGGATCCACTCGTAGACCATAGAGCCGGACCAGGTATCCGACATATGTTCGCCGAAAATGGCAGCTTGGTCACCAAAGGTTCTAGGCCGTGCGGCGTTGCAGCCAGTCTCGGAGAAGAAGATGGGGATCGGATAGCCACTTGCGTTTCTCTGAAGCTCTCTATAGCCAGACTGAACGTACCCGGAATTTCCACACCACTCGTAGGCATTCAGTGCGAAGAAGTCCAAGCGATCATTAGGATCTTTCGCGCAAGCTAGATAATTCTGCAACATGGGACGCAGCTCCGCAATATCCGCTGCAGAGTAACCCACAGGAATGTTTCGGTAGTTCTGCGCATCGCGGTACGCTTTGATATCTCGAGCCGCAGCCAGCACATAGGGAGCAGCGGCCGAGCCCTCTTTTGTGGTGAGGACCTCATTTCCAACGAACACACCCGCTGTATTCTCATACTTTTGAAACTCGTCCAAGACCTGCTTGAACCGGTCAAACTGGGTCTCATTCCAGTGGGGATCAGTCTATTGCTCGAGTCAGTCAGGGATCAGCTGGTGGAAGAATATGTATCCCGCAATGAGAACTGACCTGCTCGATCTGTGTGTCAAAAGTGTCGAGATCAACGAACAGGTAGATGCCGGCATCTGCCAGAACTTTCATGCAGCCGTCATGATTGGCATGGGGATCGACATGGTAGACGCGGATGGCGTTGGTCCCCAGCTCGGCCATGAGCTTAACGTCGCGAGTGCATTGTTCCGTGTCGATGAGTGGATCATCAGGAACGAGCTGATACGCGATGCCTGTAATAAGGGTACTTGCGTCAGTGAAATTGCCTGAAAGGCTGAGGGGAAGATGAACTCGCACCTTTCAAGAAGTACTGGGTACCGTCTTCGTAAAAGAAGCGGGAACCAACAGCTGAAATTGTCCGAACAGCCTCAACAGCCACAGGGGAGAAGCCTCCCAGCAGCAACGAGACCGCAGTCAGAGTAAGCGAGGAGCGAAGCATATTGAATGCCTTCTTCAGATGGAACCCGTTTGATAGACTATGCTCACAGATGGGTCTGATGTTTTAATTACTGCAGACTGGGAGGATATATCGGTGGGATTGAAATAAGTAGGATGAGAGAAGAAAGAAGAGAAAGGATGGCAGACGCTCCAGATAACTTTGAGGCTATCAAAATAAAACAGCAACTACACAACTTGGAAAGAGCCAAAGTCACTTCCCTGATTCGGCAGTCAAACAGCCGCTAAGGAAGGAGCTAACACAACGGGTCTCTCTGAGAAGGAAACTGGATGTCGCATTGTTTCCAGCAAACAAGGTAGATAGATGAGAGACCCATCCTTGATATATGTATCCTTAGGAAGCCGATTCAGCCTCCTGGTTCAGGTATTGGAAATAGTTCTCCTCGCTCGAATCTTGTTACTTCAGTGAAGGGGACAAACACTACATGCTAGCCCCTAGAGAAAAATGACGTCAATGGCATTGCTTGTCAGCCCCTGATGGAATTCTAAATGATCCCTGCTGGATGAAGAAGTTGTCGCGCGTTTGAAGCATTTTGACTCTGCTGGGATCATGAAAACGACGCGGTGTAGGCGGGGGAAGGAATGTAGGGAGAACCAGGGAGAGTCATGAGGGATCGAACACAAAGGATGTGGAAGCATCACAAGGAGGGCAATGATAGTGCTCGTACTTGAAGATCAGGTACTTAGCGGGTCTAACCAGATGCGAAGGGCAGAATGAGTCTGATATACTCCGTACAGAGCTTGGTGTTGATGGATCTACTCCGTACTATTTGAGGTTATCGTGACAGTTGATGCCTGAGGCAGAAATTGTCCCAAAGCATGACTAGTGGATGCCTGACAACTCAGGCTACCATTACTTTTCACCCCTCACGGTCCTCAGACCCAAGCAACACTAATGCGCTTGATCAGATGGCATTTGCTGCTAGTAGTACGGCAGATGTGCCTAACTACCGTCTCAGGCAGATAGAAAAGCAAGTTTGAAGTCACATTGAAGACTATCCGCGACCTTGTACTCGAGTTTGCTAACCGGTAAAGTTTTCGGTGCTTTCTACGGGAACGGAGAACTCATGAAGAAATCTACAGAGTATTCTCCACCTCTCTTTTCGCACAGAATGCTAACATTGACAAGTGACGATTCAGTTAGCGATGAGCCAAGTAGTCAGCACAAGCAACACGGTCAATCGCACCACAAGTAACGAATTATCACATGACACTTGCTTGGTTTGCTTTGAGGTCGTGCTTCGAGGGCTTCAATTGTCCTCCGGAGTCTGGAGTACAGCACGGAGGACTCCGTTAGCACTACTTTCTTCGGCTAGACCGTTGGATCAACAGGATAACATCCCTTGTTCGGAAGAGATCAGCTCAGATTCTACTGTAACTGTTCCATTCCTGTTGTGATGAGATCGGCGGACAGACCCTGATTTAATCAGAATCCATGCATTGCCCCTCGGCCATGCTCAATCCTCATTGATAAGTTATCAGCAACACGACCCCTTTTTTCTCCTCTCTATCAATAGACTAGATATCGCCATCCTCCGTCCAGACTGTAGTTTTACTTTGACGGTGGCTCTCGGCTTTGAGACAGATGACCTTAGTTTGATAACATCATGGCATGAGAACCAACCGTTTCTTCGGATGGCGTTGGAGATAATTAATTCGGAGTCTCTTGGCAGTGATCGAGACCGCGGGCTATTATACGTGTCGGGTCCACCACACACAGCAGATCCCATCATTCCGATCATCTCTTTGGCTGCTTCCAGGTTGTGTCTGCTGGTTGGGTCGCAAAATGTTTAGGAAAATGACAGTTGGTCTGGATGTCTGCGATCTGTGCAGAGGGGAGAAGAGAGCAGAGAAGCATTAATTCCGTACTCTGGAGTAGAAGTTATCTATCAATAGGAGATTCTCCCCCACTTGGTTGACGTCTTCTTCCTACCACTAGCAGAGACACAAAAAGGGACCCTTTTCCCCTGGTCACTCTTGGTGTAGTACAAATTATGCGACTAGTTTCAGGTTACCCTTCATCCGTTTCTGACTTCATTTCCGAGGTATTGACGATCGACATCGCAGCTTGCGTGGAAGACGTCCCTTCCAAGACCCTTGTCCGCATCCGGATTTCCTCCTTATTCTCCTCTTTAAGAAACAACTTCAAGCCCTCAATTGCGAATATTAATCGAAAGGTTGATTATACTCCGTACATAGTTTCATCTTCTCCTCTGCTCCTTTCTCGAACAATCCATCACTGTTATTGTTTCCGTCATTCATCGAACTTTAAACTGCCGCGCTCGCCCTCATTGTCAAGCTCCCAGAAGCTTCCGACTAGAACCAGTTTCCCTTTTCTTGAAACTGGACCATGCGATCCGTGGGTCTTCCTCTGTGTATCGCCGTGCTCTCGACTCTCTATTCGCTCCGTCTGCCTCCGTATTGCTTGATTGGTCGGGATCTGTAGCGTCTTCACTACTGGCGACCGACGTCACCAATACGGTATACTGTTGATTGTGTACTCTTATTTCGTGGGTACCTCGTTCAGGCCGCTGCAAGCCCCTCTCTGGCAGCGTCCATCATCTGAAATTATATCATCTGCTCGAAACAACGGACTCGTGGCTTGAGGATAAACCCACCGTATCACAGACATGTCGAACAACCCGATTGTGTCACCGTTTCGGATCTCGAACAAGCATTCGGAGAAGCTGAATCGCAACGATGCTTTCAAAGCGGTCAGGGACCACCTGAGACGCCAAGAGATGGGAATGGATGCTCCTAGGTATGATCATCCGGAATGACATATATGTGTGGCTCAATCTGACACTTGGACGGTTACAGCTTCTGTTCATTGCACCGTCGCTCTTGTTCCAAGCAGGACCAGGAGGAGTTTCGTCTCCATCGGGATATCATCCACACCATTCTCCTCCCCTTGTTCCTCCTCCACCATCAAGCCTCCCGAATTGCGACCAGCGCGTTACCCGGGATCAAATCGACGGACTGCGAACGTGCTTTTCGGGGAGAAGCACGCAGCGCCTACGCCTGGCTACAATGCATCCTCAGGGAGGAGCACGACTGGTATCAGACAGAACGCTGCCCAGCGTGCATCGTTTTACACGTCCTCAACTCTGAGCCGACCATCCGATTTGTTGCCGTGGCGTGCCTGTTGTCGGACAACCTACAAGGATTAAGCCCGCTCGACGCGCAAAAGCGACTTCCCAGCTTCGATTTCTTTTTCGATGCGTTGGAAGGGGCAGTCCGGGAGGATCCTTTCTGGGGCAATGACTTTTGGCCGGATATTGAGCACCGCGCGCGTACGTTGACGGATGGTGTCAAGCAGCTGGTGGTGCAGTGTCTGGTACTCCGAGCCGCTGTGGAGCGTCAGAGCCTGCAATCTCAATCGCTGTACAATCCCGCTGCTTACGTTCGGTGCGACTTGACGCAGCAGCAAACGGGCCACACTGTTGCCATGAGGTCGTCAAATTTCGCCCGCAAGCACTCTCGAAAGACAGTCGAGGAGCACAAGTGTCTTGCTGCTAAGCTGTCTGCCAACAGGTGTCTGCAGACCCACTACAGTGACGCAACTCAGGGACTGCACCCTCGCAGCCACGCCGCATCCCGGAGAAGAACTGTCACCTCCTGAGCATGTGTAGGGTTGCGTCTCTTTTTGACGTTTACTACAATTACTCGCCCCAGATCTACCGATCTACCCTAGCGGCCAAACTCAGACGACCAAACGGTCGCCCCAGTTGGCCTCGCTCTTCCAAGCTGCCCACGCGAACAAGCCGGAAGATGCTGAGGCCGGCCTGGAGCTTATATGCAGCAAGATGGAACATGGCTCTGACGTAAGGTCATCGGTGTATGTAGCCACACGCTTGGCATTACCGAACGCCGAGTCGATTAGGCTGCAACATCCACAGGGCTGGAGCACGGATTACTGTCAAGCCATGGCTTGGCATAGAAATATGTTCTGAAAGTGCAGGGCTTTTGAGGTCTAGATTTTAGCAAACAACCGTTCCTGCGAGGCTGCAAGGTCACTCCTGTCCCACGACTGTCGCACAGCATGCTGCTGGAGCAAGTCGTCGGCCTTGGTTTGGGCTGCGTAAAACCTTGAACACAGCGTGGAAGGGCCATGTCTGAAATTGGCAGGTGGAATGTACACAGGTTGGAGTCCTATAATGAGACTCTACTAATCTTAATTTAATACAAGTTGACATGGCATCATGCTTCAAAGTAAATACACGGCTTGATTGACTTGGAATTCATAGTACTTAATGAGAGACCTGCCGTTCAGGGTTGAATTCAAGAGCAGATAGACGTCTCATGTCCAACAGCCAAGGCAGGCAGATAACTCTTGTACAACCAACGATTGCGATAGGCATCAATAGTTGCTGTTACACAATAACGACACCTGGCGGCAGGATATCGTTTCTATCCACCAATAAAGTTTCGTCATATTCAATATCAACAGAAGCAAATTCAACCTGCTACGTTCATGTCATGTAACCACGCAATTCTGATATCCACAATGTATACATGGCCTCTTCGAATAATATAGCCATCCCATCACCATCACCATCACCCGTCACTGACAGCGACAGCGACAGCGACAGCTATCGACCAACCACAGTCCAATCAAATAAAGGTCGGCAACTGCGTCGTTTCACTCTTCTACCTGAGACGAGGGTGGATCAAAACCTCAGCCAACGCCAAAGTCCGTGTCCACTAACATTGTAATTGAAGATTAATAGACGCATATTGCTTGCGCAATGGTAATATGATTCTCAGATTAACTCCGGCGATCATGTCAAGTTGCATGACGAGTTGATGACTAGACTAGCAGTAGCATATATGGTAGGGTTGATTACTGTGCGGTGGTTCCGTGGTTCTGCTGTTTGAGATTGAGGACAGGGATTGGGATTCTCCGTAGGATTATTATTGTTACCATCCTGCCTTGCAACATGTCAAGGTCTAGAGCTAATATAGAGATTACTGTCATGTAAT